GATAAAAATTAATAATATGGTTAAATTTTTTTATTAATATAATCTTAAAATCATTTAATTATATAATTATCAATATAAATATTTTAAAGATTATTATTCTCCTCTTTCTCTGCTGTTTTTTTCTTCTTCTTCTTTTATTTTTTTTTTACCTTTAGGTTTATGCGAACCCAAGCACAAGGTTCGTCTTGGAACCTAGCTCTTGGGTTCGTCGCGAACCCAGACGAGGGGTTTGTGATGAACCCCACACTTGGTTCATGTCGAACCAAGCTCCTAGGTTCGTCTCAGAACCCAGGCACTGGGTTCGTCTTGGAACCCAAGCATGGGGTTCGCCATGAACTTAGCTCCTGGGTTTGTCTCTGAATAGAAGATGAGGAATTTTCGGTTTAGGGGGAAGAAAGACGAGGAAGAATACGGTAAGTATTTTCAGTTTGTTTCTTTAATTGGATGAGGAAGAAGATAGTTAAGTATTTTCAGTTTGTTTCTCTGATTGGATGAGTATTTTTGGTTTGTTTCTCTAATTGGATGAGGAAGAAGAAACAGATGTGCTTGGGTTGCTTGGTAATGGTGGGTGATGTTATAAACTGGACCCTTATATAGTGATTTTTTTGTAAATAAAAGGAAGTGTGAGGATAAAATGAGAAGACCATGTTAATTTCATTAAACATGAAGTGAGAAGCTCCAACGGAAGCACGAAATTGATGCTTCCAAGATTTGCAAAGGAATGGAGAGAAGATGTGGTTCTAGGAAGCATGTTTGAGAAATTGCCATATTTGGTGCAACTTGTGCTTTTAAAGCCAAAAAACTCTTTTCATAATTTGCACCAAACAAACACTTAATCATGAAATACATCTTTCTATTATTTTATCCTTTCTCAAGTTTTTGTTATCTCCAATTATTGTCATTCTCCTTTGAGAGATAGTGTGGATATCCAGAACTTGGATTCATACACCAGGCAATCCATTCCTCATAACAAAAATTCGCAATAGTTAGGGGAAAAAACAAGTCAATAGAAGAAACAAAAGAAAAGGATGATTTATTTTGCAATGGTGTTTCTTTTGGAAGATCTTTCGATGTCAAGAAAAAGGTGTATCCTACGTGGCATCGAATAGTCATTCATTAGATTGGAATTTTAGAAAGCAATTAATGATAGGTGATGGCTACGCTGGGCAGTGGGCCAAACCTTAAATTTGTTTTCGGCTAAAAAAGTCTTAGATTTCAACCTCGGGCCTCTCTCCTGTATTTGGGGCCTGATTGTTGACAACTTGACATGCCATAGCCTTTTCTCGGACCCCTGGATCTCAACTCTTCAACAAAATAATTGCCCTTTTCTCTCTCCTTTTTTTAAAAAAATTAAATAAATAAAAATTAAATAAAATAAAACTCAACAACAAAATAATCCACGTGTATGGGTGTAATTTAAAGACATACTGCCATTTTGATGGCTAGAGATTTTGATAACAACAGTCAACTGATGCTGGAATTATGGCAAAAATAAAAACAGACTAACATGACGCAATTGGCAGGTCGTCTGATCATTCAGAGGCCCAAATTAACAAGTGAAGCCCATAATGATTCGGCATGCACCCATCAAAATCTTTACATTGGCCCAAGTAGTTTTTTTCTTTCTTTCTTTCTTTCTTTTTCTAGTCATAGAAGGTGAAATAAGCCTCCAAGGCCTCAAATCAGTGCGTCAATTTGAACAAATTACCATTTGGGGGAGGTGGGGATCAGGACACTAATGTGTTACATACAGTCAAGGTTTTCCCTCTTCTATCATTTCCTTTTCTTTCAAAGAAGAACTTATAGATTAAGAGAAATGGAGCTTAATCAAGTTCGATCATCATTATTTTTTTCTATAATTGATTAGTATAAATTTCAGTATTTCAAATTGGATCAGTGACTCCTCAAAAAATAAATGTTTGGGTTGATAAAAACCTATGTGGTTGAATTTAATTAAGTTATTAATTAATTATATCAATTCAAAAGAAAAGTCCTACATTATGCGATCAATTAAACTAGTTGTCCTTTTTCTTTCATGCAATTAGGGATGTTAATAGGGCCCCATGGGGCCGGGGAATCCCTCCCCGTCCTCGTCCTTGTCCCTACGAATGGTTGGGACAAAGATCCCCACAGAGATTTTTAACAAGGGTAGATTTTGCCCCCCAACCCCATTCCCCACCAATTAATATCAATATATATATTTTTACATCAAACGTAAATGAAGATCAATTTAACATAAATAGTTAAATCAACAAATTTGTTTCAAACATAAATAAAGATTAATCCAACATAAATAGCTAAAGCAACATAATTGTTCCAAACATAAGAAAAAATCAATCCAACATAAATAAAATAACTAAACTAACATCTAGCATGAAGAGAGGCAGCTAACTCAAAACACCTGGGCAGTGTGGGTTCAACACAATCAGCAACTCCAATAGCAGAAGACAGAAGGTAATGTGGGTTCAACAGCAGCAGAAGCTAGAAGACAATGTGGGTATTACAACAGTCAGCAACTCCAACAGCAGATCAGTAGCAACGAAAGCCAGAAGGCAGTGTGAGTTTGATAGCAGTCGTAGCTCCGACAGTAAATCAGTAGCAACAAAAGGTAGAACACAGTGTGGGTTCGACAACAATTAACAACTCTAGCAACGGAAGCCAAAGGGGAAGGGAAAGTCGAAGGTGAGGCCGTGAGAGTGAGTGAGGAGAAATGAATAAGGTTAGGGTGGCAATGGAGGGAATTGAGGGATTTAGGTTAGGGTGGAATGGAGGCAATAAGATTAGGATTAGGGTTAAAAGGAGGATGGTGAGTTGGGTTGGGTAAAATTTAATTTTTATTGAATTAGGTTTGGGTTTAATTTTTTGAAGGTTTTATCAAATTTAAACTAGAATTAATTTTTTTAAAATTTTTTTGTAGGGATTTGAATCCCTACAGGGCCTTGCAAAATGAGAAAAATTCATTGTAAAATTTTGTGGGAGGGAAATACCCTCATTTTTGTCCCGCAAGAAAAATACTCCTTCCTATCCAACCTCCGTGATAAAAATTCCCACGAAACCTCACAAAAATCGAGGTGAATTGCCACCGCTATATGCGATGAATGAAATTGGTCTTGGTTTTCCATTTGCTGGGGACCGATGTTGTGGCCACTTTCCATTCCCCTGCCAGATGCACGGAAGAAAGTTAAAAAAGTGGAAAAGTAGTCACAAAAGCAGACACACAACAACCAAGTACCGTTGCATGAATAGCAGCTGTCTAAACTCTAAGCAAGCAGCTCTACGTGGAAAGACTTCATTGCCAACGTTCTGCACCACCCAACCCCAACCAAAAAGCATTCTCCAAAATTAATGTCTGATTCCTAGGAAAATGGCACCAAATCTCTCCTATTCTCTAAGCTTCATACTGTTGCACATTGCATCTAGTCTCCTTAAACTCTTCAACACTGAAAAGAAAAAAAAAAATCATTTTAATTATTCCCCTGAATGTAATCCTGTACTTAACAGAGTGATTTATT